CACCAGCCCCCTGCGGGCCCCCCGCCCCTGGTTAGCGACTCCTGAGGAACTTGTAGATGGCAAAGCTGGGGATGATGAGGCAGGGGACGCCGGCCACGACGACCACCACTGCGTACACCCAGCCTGGGTACGCCACCTTCTGGGACTTGGGGAACCCGTCCTGCAGGAGAGCGCAGTGCTGAGCCGCGGGCTCTCCTTTAGGGCCATGCCCTGTAGCCCCACGGTGACCCCAGGTCTGAGGGCCTGCCCTGGCCGCCTGGCCAGCACTGCACTCACGTAGCTGGGGTCCCAGACGCTGTAGATGAGGTCCTCCCTGACCTTGACCACGAAGAAGGCGAGGAAGATGACCAGCATGATCAGTGGGCTGACCACTCTCCACGTGGCTTGCCAGAAGAGGTTGGGCCGATGGCCGACCATGAACTTGATGTCTTCATTGAACCTGGAAGCAAGCGGGGTGGGAAGGTCACCAGTGCCGCCACCGGGACTTTAAGCAAAGGGTGGCCACCTTGCTACCACCTGGACCCATGGTGCTGTCCTGGAATTCCGCCCAGCCCTCCCAGACAAAGCCCAGTCGCGCTCACAGGCGAGGGTGTGTTCTGGCTCGGAGCCGCCCCGCCAGGCCACCGCCAGCCTCTGACCCAGGAGAACGGCTCAGAGAGAGCCCCACCCTCCTCTCAGCGCTCCTGCCTCTGCACGCACGGTGCGCTGCATCCCCGTCGCTGCGTACAGGGGTCTGTCCCCACAAAACCACAGTGGGTAGGTGGGGTGTGGATGTGCACAGGGCAAGCCTGCAACAGGCACTCTTGGGCTCGAGGCTAAGCCACGTGGGCGCCGTCAGGACGCACGACCCTGGCCCTGTGCGCCTCTCACCATACCCTGGCAGGACGTGTCCGAACCATGCCTGGCATTCGGCCCCACCGCATACAGCCAGTGCCACCTGGGCGCACGGGTCACAGCGTCCATGGGGTCTGAGCATACATGGCAGGGTCTGCTTGTGTCCCTCCGAGTCCCCTGCTGCTGCCATCACAGGGCCCACTCCTGCCCTCACCCACACACTCACGTCAGTACTCAGACCAGGGTTCCCAGAGGAGGCGCCTCTGGGCAGGGCGAGCGCATGCTTCACTGGGGTCACTACCCTCTGATTGTCACTAACACTCTCACGGTTTCACTCCGACCAGGAGCACCATGATCTGGGTCCCTGCCAGAGGCGACAGATGACAGTTGCCAGATGTGGCCACAGGGATGCTAAGGATGGTGCTGCAGCTCCGAGTCTGCACCCCTGTCACTCACCCGAGGCCCCTTGTGGCTACACGCCACCCCCCCCTTCAGTG